GCAGCGCTTTCATGTCCACAGCTGTTGGCAAACATCAGCATATTGGTCAGTATCAGTAATCAGTGTTTTGACTTTGATGATTGTAGCATGAAAAACMGTGACCCCTGACATATAGGCACTTTATCACTGGTCATGCCTCATAACATCTGAACTTTGCTCTGAGAAAGCTTTCTRAGAGACAAATTTGATTTTAATTTTCAGTATTATAATCGAATAATAAGCTGTCCTTGTCATGCAGATAATGCTGACACAACAGTCTGTTTTAACCTTTTGTGATTTATTTATGAAAATAAGAAAACAATCATTAACACGATTTTCCTTTTTAAYGGTACTTTATTCTAAGTGTGTATTGGGTTAAACCAGCTATAATTCATCCATCTACCAATGGATTGGTAATTGGAAAAATGTCTAAACAAATATATAACAAGATGGACATACGGTTGGATGAATGGATGACAGATTTCTATATTATACTGTGATTTCTGAACTGTCATTTAATTTTAACATCCATTGTTAAAAAGTAACTGACTATTTTTCCTCTGTTRTCTCCTGAGCAGATGGTTAGCAACAGCTGCATTACGCCTGTTTGACCATGATGCAGCTCTCTGCATTAAACATGATGTATCTTTCCCAAAAGAGATGTTATTGGACAAGCCGACCATCTGAGGAAAAATGTAATTTTTAATTACCGCAAACAAGAAGTTCTTGCCGACCCGGCTGGGTCTGATAAGGCTCTGACGAAGGGCCAAGCCGTCCCAGAGTCCGAGTTTGTACGAACCTATCCGTAAGGACCTCCAGGGCAGATCTGTAGTCCGGCACGCCAAGCCTTCACGTCCAATGAGATAGCTGGTTGTCTCCAATTTAGATGAGCTGACTAACTGTACCTAATCAAGGCATAACACACAAAAGTGTTTGCAGGACAGTTCTGCTTAAACCGCCGAGGCAACTTTGATATAATTCTTCTGACTTGCAGTAAGATTAAAATTACTAATAAATATTCTGACCAAGAGGAGGAAACAGAACTTTTCAAAGAGAATTTAGATTTTTCTTTTTTTTCTTTTGAAGATGGGCTGTGAGAAATACATCCTTATAAATCAGTGTTATCAGCACTGGACAGTGGTCAGAAGACTCTCACTTAATAAAAAAAGGGAGAATTCCTGATTGATGAACCAAGGCAGAGAAAAAAAATCACTTTAATCCCAGCCACACATTTAGTTTGGTTCATGTATTTATTTTTTGGTGTTGTCAATAACATCTTTCCTGAGAAATACAAAAACTCTTCTTCCAAAACTTATTATTTTTTTTTGTAATTTCACTTCAAATGCTCCCAGAAACTCTCAGTCACTCTACAACCCTTAAGTTTTCCTTATTGAAACCAATTTTAAATGCATCTTTTTTATCCCAATGCAGCCTTTAGTTATGCAGTTGTGTTTTTAACTCCATTTCTCATCTTTTGATTTTTAAATCAGTGGTGCCCCCAAGGGCTGGCCGTGGAATTTTTCTGACCAACCCACTGC